CCTTAACAGCAACCCAGTAAAGCCATGCCGGCCACGAACCCCACCAGCAATGATGCCGTCATGGCAACACCCACTGATTCCGCCACTGGCCACAACCGCCACCGCCACTGCCACTGTTTTGTTGTTGCAGCTAGCACGCCAAAGCACAATGTCTGCAACCGGGAGACAGCCATTTCGAGCCTGCACGGTTCACAGCGCCAACAAGCACTGTAAGCACCATCTGGGCACATGTCTCAGCCTGGCGCAGGAGCTAAATTTTACTGATCTTGGCGAAAATGATTGTAACCAAACCTCTCAGCAAGGGCTCACTAGGGCCACTAGGGAACCATTAACCACGGTCATGCTATATCGCGAACATGTCCTCTTCTGGGGTCTAGCAGCCTCAAATACGTCAAGTCCTCCCTTGTTACAAGGACCAATCGATCTGGAACCTTGCAAAACCTGCGCCAATAGCAGTACCCTCCAAATCTAAGCTCCGCTACACCTCAGCCCCTACGTGCAGTACAGAGTAGATGCCATTGCATCTAGCAGTAAGGCGAATGCACGGAATACACTGAGTTGGCAGCTTTGCGCTCTCAATTACCAAACTTTCTGGTGCTTAGAAGGAATTAAGTAAGGCGAAGGATCCGTTCAGAAGCCCTTATGTTGAGGTTTCTTTCTTTCCTTCATTCCACTACTAGCTACTAGTAAGCATAGGCCTCAGACCAACCTGGACTGGTAAAATCCATATTGCAAGGCCTCGAAGCCATGATCGCCAAACCTGACCACAGGGTGGGTTTGAAGCCAAATGAGCAGCGTTTTTTTGTGGTTAAACCCAGTAAGATTATCTTCCTTATATAAAATACTATACCCCATAAGGAGGATAGAATCTTACTCTATATTGGGTACCAGAGTATCCCCAAATAAAATACTACTCAAATAACGGCTCTCCAGGATTTCACATGTGCCACCATGTAAAAGAAGACACAGAGTGCTGAGGCTGTGCTCTCCTAGGATATTGAAGCAGGCAGGTTTCCGGGCCAAATTGGATTCGCCTCTGGTCCTTGCCGAGTCTGT